CGACCTAATCGCGCCTGCCTCTTTGCGAAAGAGTGGAATCATGAACAGTGATTTATGTTCGTCTGCGTACCCCATATATGGCTTATTAGCAGCACATTCACACCAAAGACAGTACAATATGAAGATAGGCTAAAACTGCTTCTCCAATAGAAATCCCGATCACACTTGTAGGCGATGTTGGCTAGCTAAACTCATGCGCAGAGACGCGTCATCGGGTCTAATGGCCGTTTCGCGCCGAACTGCGCATGTGAAGGCCGTCAACTCAAGTCACTCCTTCGATATAAAATAGTTTTTGACGAAAATTTTAAACGTGTCACTTTCACAAGGTTGGAGTAATAACATGTCAAACTACGTAAGACATTAGCTCGAATCTAGCTTTTACCTTATAGATTTCGAGAAAATTAACAACTAAGGAAGTTTGCTTTACTTTTCTGATTGACTTCTCAAACCCCAAACCCCGGCCTGGTCTGTTTCACAAGCATTCCCTGAAGTCTCGAGATGTTGCGCCTCTGGGTTTAGAAACTCTGCAATTCGGGACGTTCCTGCATGTGGGCATTCCTGCATCTTCAGGAACTCATCTTTATACTTATATTGGAACTTTTTTTTAAAGATAAGGACAGGCGAGGTGGAGGAGTGTATCTTGGCCGAGAGGAAACGGCGACTGTGCTTGAACGTGAAAGTGCGGCAAGTGAAGTATGTGATAATGAATGGAAAATAGTGAAATCAAAGAATGGAACAAAACGAGCAAAAGTTGTAGTAGAAGAGAAGGACCGGTCCAATAATGCATGTCTTAAAGGGACTGCGTTTTTTGGAGGAGGTGGTTCATTTGGGAAATCCATTTGTAATATTGAGTACTGTGAAGAAAGCAGTGGGAACTAGAAGTGGCCTTGATTTGGTTAATTGTGTTGATGAAGAACAGAAGAAGCGTGCAATGGTCTGGCAAAATTGCCCACGTCAGAAGTACCTATATTCATCTTTGGAGCAGGGCGCCTGCCAAAGGAGTTATAGCTGGAGTCTCGTTGGATATAGACAGTGGTGGAAAAAGTACTCCGTTTTCATACTTGAGTAAAAGTACAAAGTAAAAGTCAAAACTATACATAAAATTCCTTATATTAAGCAAACCAGCCAGGGGCACACTCCAACACTCAGACATCATTTACAAACACAGTATTTGTGTTTAGTGAGTCTGCTAGATCAAAGGCAGTAGGGATGACAACGCGTTATATTGATAGGTGCGTGAATTGGACCATATTGCTGTCCTGCCTGAGCATTTCAAATGTAACAAGTACTTTTTGGTGTCAAGGAAAATGTATGGTGTAAAAAGTACATTATTTTCTTTAGGTATGTAGTGGAGTAAAAGTAAAAGTAGTCAAAAATATAAGTAGTAAAGTACAGATACCCCCAAAAAACTACTTAAGTAGTACTTCAAAGTATTTTTACTTAAGTACTTTACACCACTGGATTTAGATGACTAGTACCTTAGTCAGAAAATCCCAGGAGTGGTCAGTGCACGTCGCCAGACCCGTATAGTAAATGAAGGAAGGAGAAAAGCCTATCAATATTATTATTGTTTGAGGAGACTACCTGAACATGTGAAGCTTGGATATGTGAGTTGTGCGGTGAGAGCATTTGTGTCCAAACCATTACAATGTGGGAATTGTAAAGGATATGGTCACGTGTCAAATGTTTGCAGACGGGACAAGTATGGTATTGAAGAATCTGTGAATGGATAATGTTGCAACAGTGGTGGGATTCATACTCCAGACTTGCTTGAGTGCCCTGTTAGGGTGAAGGAGGTCAGGGCACTCAAGGATCTCTGGAGTATGAATCCCACCACTGTTGCAACATTTTCCATTCACAGATGCTTCAATACCATACTTGTCCCGTTGTGGACCGGATCTTCTATGTGGAGGCGGTGAAAAGAGTCGAAGAAATGGCGGTGGATGCATTGCAACCAGTTGCTAGTGTTTTAAGTCAATCGAGTGATCTGGATACACTCATTGTGAAGAAAGAGGATTTTGTGTTATTTATAACCACAGTGATTAATTTACATTTAACATTTTAGTCATTTAGCAGACGCTCTTATCCAGAGCGATTTACAGTTAGTGAGTGCATACATTATTTTTTTTCATACCCCCCATGGGAATCGAACCCACAACCCTGGCGTTGCAAACACCATGCTCTACCAACTGAGCTACATCCCTGCCGGCCATTCCCTCCCCTACCCTAGACGACACTGGGCCAATTGTGCGCCACCCCATGGGTCTCCCGGTCACGGCCGGCTACGACAGAGCCTGGATTCGAACCAGGATCTCTAGTGGCACAGCTAGCACGACGATGCCTTAGACCACTGCACCACTATTGTACAGCACAAGTGTCCAAGAAGCTGAACATCGTTATATCTGCAGCCAAGTTTTTAGGGCTCCAAGAGTTCACGGCAGAATCACTGCAAGGACTATTGTAGCTAGGATATGTCCCGCCCTCCCAGGAGTCTTCTAAGCCTGTGTAGGGACCTGATTATTATTATTTTTTTTTTACAGAAAAGCAGGTTGATTTAGTTTAGTTAAGTTCTTTTTTTGATAGTTTATATGATATTTGATTTATTTTTACACACATTATTTCATTTTCTGGGGATCCTTATTATCCACCCGCACAGTAGGTGGCGGAATGCACATCCAATTGTTGCGAACGCCATTATACCATAGAAGACGAACGACGACAGGCGGGGGCGCTCCAGGACAGTAGGTGGCGTTAATGCACAATAACGTTGGATGCCAGCAGACAATAAACCCCACAGAAAATGTCGGTGGGGGCGACAACCGTAACGAGCTAACTGTAAACTGGTAGACGGTGTCCTTCATCCCCGCAGTTCTGTTAACGACAGCAAGGGCAGGTGTTCGGCAGGTGGGAGAGAAGGACACTGTGCGCTATCTTAATCAGCTAGTCCGGTACAAAGCAGGAGGGGGCGACACCGTGTGCTAGCTAACTAGCAACTACTTAGCTAACACACGGTATCGCCCCCAGCATCCCGTCTGCTGTGCTAGACACGGTTTTCTCCGGTACACAGCCGGCGGGAGACACCGTGTGCTAGCAAGCTAGTGTGCTGTCTCCCCAGCCTCCCACCTGCTCTGGAAGCGGGTGCGACACCGGTAGACCGTGTCCTTCGCCCCTGCCTGTCGCGCACTGTTTTCCCGCAGTTCAGGCAACGACAGTGAGAGCAGGTGTTCGGCAGGCGGGAGCGAAGGACACTTAAAAAAATAATAATAACTGAGATAATACTTGTATTTCCCTTTTGACCCACATTCAAAAGTGTCACAAGCATGAAGATTGGGGGAATGCCCACATGCAGGAACGCCCCAAATTGCAGGAAGCAGTTGCACAATATTGCCCTCTAGCACATTGTTTCCCAAAACCAGGGGTACTAGCACCCCTGGGAGTACTTGAGAAGACTCATGAGACCATATGCCAACTGGTAAAATGTACATGAAGGGGTACTCCGGGAAAGCAAAATTCGGTTGGTCTTACACTAACCGAAAAAGGTTGGGAACCACTGCTCCAGCAGCACAGGCCGAGACCGGGCCTGAGACGTGAAACGAACTACCCCAGCTCGCAGTCGTTGAAGTAGGCAACAAGAGACGCTGCTGAAAGTGTGTTTGCGGGATGCCGGACAACAGGCATTTTTAAAACCGTCCCGCGACTCCTGCGGTGTCTACAGACATCCCAAAACAAACAATAACCGACTGTCGGAGAATGAGTGCACAACTGGTAAATAGTCGCTTATATATATATATATAAAGGATACGCAGGGGTGAAAGTACTCTGGTATGGCATCACGGTAAAATAAATAGTGGGGATACGCCGTACCGGTAAAACATGAGCCTATCACAAAACAGAATGTAAAGAAAAATGTAGGCTATTACACTATTATTTGTCATTACCGCATGAAAATGAGCGATTGGACTTGAAAACGGGTATAGCATACGCTCCCAAATGCGATGTTCGATGAGGACACTGACATTTTTCCAAGGCAGAGATTAGGTGCCGCCACCCGAGACGCTTGCGTTCAGCAGTGGATTCTGGCCAAATGTCATTGCACTTTTTGGTGTTTTGTGTAACGTCTATTTCCATTTACCACTGTTTGGAGGCTGGAAATATGCTGCGAGTGGATGAACATGCGCAGGTAGCCTAGTAAAGGAGCCATTTGAAGTGATTGTTTGACAATCAGATAACGTCATGACTGGTTGTGTTTATGCCACGGTAAAATGTAATACATACATTTTTTAAATGACATCTTTACGACTAGGCCCACAGAGATCCGATTGAATTACTAGGGATTCTATATGTAATTCTTCCCATACCGGGAATAAATTAAATCTACTTTCACCCTTGTAGGTCAGTCCAGTGGCTAGCTGCCAGCAGAGACTTCTATTGCAGTAACGCTGAAGTGCTCTGGCTAGTATTACTTAGTCCGTTAGAAGGATGAAGTATAGCTAACGTTAAATGGAGCATACAGCAGCAGGAGTAAAAAATATACTAAGTACTCATACATCTGCTTTACAGAAAGTAGGCTACTGAGACAGACAGTGATGTGGTGCTCAGTGGTGAGGCTGAGGCAGGTGGCAATGCATGCAGAGGAGACTGAGAGAGAGGCTAGTACAGTGATTCCCAAACTTGGGGTCGTTTCAGGCATATAACATTACAGTTGTATAGCTAATAGGCTATGTGTTTGTAGATCAACTTAGGTGAATTAACCTACGGCGGGTATGTGAAAGCTTCTTGAAATGACTTTGTGCTGTCATAGATTTATTGTGGCAAACAATAACGTGGACCTAATTCATCATACTCAAACCAAGTTCTGTTTTCTTGAGGGAGTAGTTAGGTAGGTAGATACCAATAAAGGCGAGTTAATCAACATGTTTCCCCCCCATATTTTATTCCAGTGTATCTGAAATCTGTGCAAGGCTGTTGGGATCTCCTTACGTATTGGGTGTGGACAAAGACTCTCCCCTTACTCCGCTGAGCCGTCCTACTTGGGAGTCCCTTCCACCTCCATCTCCATCCCATTCAGCCACAGTAGCCATATCCTGGTCCCTGGCTCCAAGATGGATGCTTTGGAAAAAATGCACTTCACCACTATCGACTATGTCATATTTGCCCTCTTGCTGGTAACGTCCATGGGCATAGGGCTGTACTACGCCCTGTCAGGGGGTCGACAGCGCACCACTCAGGAGTTCCTGCTAGCGGACCGGAGCATGAGCTGCCTTCCTGTATCCCTGTCACTTATCGCTACATTTCAGTCAGCGGTGGCTATAGTGGGTGTGCCGGCAGAGATCTATACCCATGGCACTCAGTACTGGTTCATAGGCTGTGCTTACATCTTGGGCCTATTCATTCCAGCACACGTTTTCATTCCTGTGTTCTACAGGTTGCATCTTACCAGCGCTTACCAGGTGCGTACTGTAGGCTATACTCTTTGCAAGCTTAAGATGGAGAGACATCTTTGGAATGAGAATATGTAGGCTAATATCAGTTGAAATGTATAAGCCTAGCTTTTAAAACCTGCTAAGGAGTTTACATCGTTTTGGTTTCTGGTAGGGAAATAAATAATGAATAAATACATTCTGAATATACTGATGTGTATATCACTTAGTGATGGTATTTTTTCTTTTCAGTATCTGGAACTGCGCTTTAGCAAACCAGTGCGTATCTGTGGAACACTTACCTTCATCTTTCAGACAGTAAGGTCCATACATACCAGATGCAATAATAAAGACAAAAACAAGTAAAAGAAAGAAAACTTGTAAATGTGGATGATTATCAGTTTTTCCGCTGATATGACTACTGCTATCTCTTGCAGGTCATCTATATGGGTGTTTGTATATATACTCCGGCCCTAGCACTCAATGCAGGTCAGTAATTTAGGCTTTGGTTTTAGGATTTATAGACAGTGATAAGTGATAACACTTTATGGGCAGTTTATGGCCGTCTCCAAGACACAGATTAAGCATAGTACAGGACTAAATAGCATTCAATGCATCAATTAACATTCTCAGTTGAAATAGCTTTTTAGTCCAGGACTAGGCTTAATCTGTGTCTGGGAAACCGGCCCTATGGGTCTAACACTCTTGATAAAAAAACAAGGAAATAATGTGTTGGGACCACACAATTTCCGCTCAAGAAATGGTTACTGTGTTTTGTGCCATGAGTAGGTGATCTATAATTGTGCAAAATGCACACTATGTTTGAGTAAAGGTTGCTTAATTTTGTTCCATGCTTCCCTATAGTTACTGGCTTTGATCTATGGGGAGCAGTACTGGCCACTGGAATGGTGTGTACACTGTATACAGCTCTGGTAAGTTGTTCTTTGTCATTTTCAGCATTTGTAAAGAAGCTGTTATTATACAATGGTAAATAAACTGGACATATTACATAATCAAAAGTACAAATAAAATATACCCATGAAAATCTTTTTGTTTAACGTTGACATTATGAAATGTCATTCCGAAGTGGCCTTTTTTCTCTATATCTTTAGATGTAACATCAGCCATTATAAGCTTGAAGCCTATACGATAATAGGCTCTGTGCCTCTGTGTTGTACCTGGTCCTGACAGGGAGGCCTGAAGGCAGTGATCTGGACAGATGTCTTCCAGACCATAGTGATGTTTGCTGGCCAGCTGGCGGTCATCGTGGTGGGGGTCCAGCAGACTGGGGGGTTAGCAGAGGTCTGGAGGAAGGTCTGGGAGGGGAATCGTATCTCTGGCATAGAGTGAGTGGACTGGTCACTATCTTCATGTATTCAAGCGATGACTGGCAATCCTGTTTAAAGTTGATTTTTTTCTTTTCTTAAATTCCATGTTCCAATTCCAATGTTCCAATTCCAAAGTTCCAGTTCTAATATTCCAATTCTGTGTTCCCCCTCTTGTCATGTCTGTTCTACAGCCTGAATCCTGACCCTACGGAGAGGTACACGTTCTGGACCCTGGGGGTGGGAGGGGTCTTCCTGATGCTGTCTCTGTACGGGGTGAACCAGGCCCAGGTACAGAGATACCTCAGCTCCAAGACCGAGAGGGAAGCCATCATGTAAGACTACATGTACCACACTCCATACACAACACCACATTACATACACATGGAATAATGTGGTAATACCATGGTAATGGTATGGATACTGACCTATTTTAACGCATTGTGATTCCTCTGTGTTTTCTGCAGGTCTTGCTACATGGTGTTTCCCTCTCTACAGGTAGCTCTAGCTCTGAGCTGTGTCATGGGGCTGGTCATGTTTGCACGTTACTGTGAGGAGGACCAATTTCACAAAATAGACAACTTATCCAAAAATGAGGTCAGTAGGAGTGTGTGTGTGTGTGTGTATTATTATTTTGGTCCTTCAGAGTTCATCATTAGAGTATTATAGTTTGTGGATTAATCAGTATGCCACTAAGTGTAACCGGTGTGAAATGGCTAGCTAGTTAGCGGTGCGCGCTAGTAGCATTTCAATCGGTGACGTCACTCGCTCTGAGACCTTGAAGTAGTTGTTTCCCTTGCTCTGCAAGGGCCGCGGCTTTTGTGGAGCGACGGGTAACGGTGCTTCGAGGGTGACTGTTGTCGATGTGTGCAGAGGGTCCCTGGTTCAAGCCCAGGTAGGGGCGAGGAGAGGGACGGAAGCAAAACTGTTACATTGATGCTGTTGACCCAGATCACTGGTTGCTGCGGAAAAGGAGGATGTCAAAAGGGGGGTGAGTGTAACCGGTGTGAAATGGCTAGCTAGTTAGCGGTGCGCGCTAGTAGCATTTCAATCGGTGACGTCACTCGCTCTGAGACCTTGAAGTAGTTTCCCTTGCTCTGCAAGGGCCGCGGCTTTTGTGGAGCGATGGGTAACGGTGCTTCGAGGGTGACTGTTGTCGATGTGTGCAGAGGGTCCCTGGTTCAAGCCCAGGTAGGGGCGAGGAGAGGGATGGAAGCAACACTGTTACATAAGCAGTCAGCAGATGTTTTTATCCAACATTACCTACAGTACAGTGAGTGCATACATTTTTTGTGTCTGTGATCTCCAGTGAGAATTTAACCCACAACCCTGGTGTTGCTAGTGCCACACTCTTACCTACAGTACACCAACCATTATGTGTTCTCTATCCACAGATGGTGTTATACTTTGTCATGGACATGCTGCAGGATCTACCTGGTCTGTCTGGACTGTTTATAGCTTGCTTATTTAGTGCAGCTCTCAGGTATGTTAATCAGTCAATATTTATAACACCCTTTTTACAACAGTTGTCACAAAGGGCTTTACAGTAACCCAGCCTAGACATCCAGAACAAGCAGATGCACAGTACCAGAAGGGTGCTTTGGTGTTGTGACTGCGTTTCATGTTTGTCTCCACAGCACCATCTCATCAGCTTTTAACTCTCTGGCCACAGTGACCATGGAGGACCTGATCAAACCACACTGCTCATCCATGACAGAGGCCAGGGCCACCCTGCTCTCCAAGGGACTTGGTACGTTGAGATCTCCTGGGCCCCTAGACCAGGGTTCTTCAATTCCGGTCCTGGAGGGCCGAAACAGTTCTGTTTTTTATTTCTACCTGGTAGTTAATTGTACTCACCTGGTGTCCCAGGTCTGAATTAGCCCCTGATTAGAAGGAGAGGATGAAAAACAGAGGTGTTTCGGCCCTCCAGGACCGGAATTGAAGAACCCTGCCCTAGACCTTATCCCCTAGGATCCAGTCACTTCATGTAGACCAGATCAAGTGCCTAGGGGGTAGGGACTAGGGGTTGATTCTGAACGGGGCCCTGCTTACTGTTGACAGTGTGTCTTTTAACTTATTTGTAAGTTCTACATCATGCTTCCCTCACTTTACCTGTGAGAGCATGTTTTCTAAGACAATACAGCACTCATATAATATCAGCACTAAAGAGTGACATTTACTTCTTCTGTTTCTGAACTAGCATGTTCATATGGACTGCTGTGCCTGGCTATGGCCTATCTAACCCACTTGATGAGTGATTCTGTTTTGCAAGTAAGCACAACATTTGATATTTTTTTTTATAATTTACTGTATATGTTCAAATTCAAATATTTTGTCTGATTCTGACTTTTTTCTATTAAATTTTTTTAATTCAAGGCTGCTTTCAAAATCTTTGGAATGGTTGGTGGTCCTCTTCTTGGCATCTTCTGTCTCGGGTTGTTCTTCCCTTGTGCTAACTCTACCGTAAGTACTCAATGTATACAGTGAGGGCATACATTTTTTGTATGTGAATGTGATCCCTGTGGGAATCAATCTTAGCGTCACGCCGGGTTACTGTAAAACCACTTTGTGACAACTGCTGATGTAAAAAGGTCAGGGCTTAATCAATACAGTTGATTGATTGATGTACTGAGTTTCTCTAGGGTGCCCTGGTGGGGTTGGGGTCAGGCCTGGTGATGGCCTTCTGGGTGGGCATCGGGAGCATCGTAACCCGTACCTCTGGTGGTCCTGCTGCTGTGTCTCAGTTCAACTGCACGGCAATACAACTCTCAGGAAGCATCACCACAGCCATAGGGACTGTACTCAATAGTACTGCTGTGCCTACTAGTACATCCAGGTAAGAGTCTGAGTGTATCATGAAAAGCTCTATACAAATAAAATGTAGCTATCATAAGAGGCAAACAACAACTAATAATCAGCTAATCTGAAAGTATTCTATTTAGTTTACTCATAGATTACTCATACAGTGCCTTCAGAAAGTATTCACTTACCTTGACTTTTTCCAAATGTTGTTACAGCCTGTATTTAAAATGGATTAAATAGAGATTTTTTTTGTCACTGGCCTACACACAATACCCCATAATGTCAAAATGGAATTATGTTTTTAGACATTTTTACAAATTAATTAAAAATGAAAAGGTGAAATGTTTGGAGTCAAGTATTCAACCCCTTTGTTATGACAAGCCTAAATAAGTTCAGGAGTAAACATTTGCTCTTAACAAGTCACATAAGAAGTTGCATGGACTTTGGATTCTGTGTGCAATAAGTGTTTAATATGATTTTTGAATGACTACCTCATCTCTGTACCCCACACATACGATTATCTGTAAGGTCCCTCAATCGAGCAGTGAATTTCAAACACAGATTCAAACACAATGACCAGGGAGGTTTTCCAATGCCTCGCAAAGAAGGGCACCTATTGGTAGATGAGTAAAAAAAAAAGAAAAAAGAAGCTGACATTGAATATCCCTTTGAGCATGTTATTATTATTAATGACACTTTGGATGGTGTATCAATATACCCAGTCACTACAAAGATACAGGCGTCCTTCCTTACTCAGTTGCCGGAGTGAAAGAAATGCTCAAGGATTTCACCATGAGGCCAATGGTGACTTTAAAACAGTTACAGAGTTTAATGGCTGTGATAGGAGAAAACTGAGGCTGGATCAACAACATTGTAGGTACTCCAAAATACTAACCTAATTGACAGAGTGAAAAGAAGGACGCCTGTACAGAATAAAAAAGATTCCAAAACATGCATCCTGTTTGCAACAAGGCACTAAAGTAATACTGCCAAAAAATTGGCAAAGCAATTTACTTTTTGTCCTGAAAACAGTGTTATGTTTGGGGCAAATCCAATACACGTTACGGAGTACCACTCTCCATATTTTCAAGCATAGTAACACAACAAAATGTGGAATAAGTCAAGGGGTATGAATACTTTCTGAAGGCACTGTAGATACAAATTTGTAATACATTTAGTGATTTCATATTAACTCTATATCTTTCGTTCTTTAGCCGACCAATGGGTCTGCAGAGATTCTACTCCTTATCCTTCATGTGGTACAGTGCTCTCAGCTCTTTCACTGTGGTGATCACAGGGTTGATCGTTAGCTTTCTCACAGGTAGGGGAAAGCTCTTGATCATTACCATAGTAGATGCACTCAGGGCTGGTTTTCCAGACACAGATTAAACCTACTTGACTAAAAAGAATGCTCAATGGTGATTGAGATTCTTCATTGAGCATGCCTTTTAATCAAGGACTACATTTAATCTCTGTCTGGTAAATTAGACCTAACATTTTCACAACATATGATTCTAAGTTAAGTTAATCTAATTGGTTGGATTTTATCTTTCAATTAAGGACCAATGAAAAAGGAGGATGTGACCCCAGGTACTCTGTCTCCTCTGTTGGGCAACATGCTGTTCTTCGTACCAGATAACATCAAACAAAAGCTGTGCTGCGTCACCACACTGGGGCACAGGGTAAGTCAACAGAGCACATGGTCTCATCACACTCACAATTCAGGATTGTGTTCATTAGTGCAAACCACATCAAAAAGCAATGAAACATTTTGCTACAAAAACAAGTATTTATTAAGTACTGGACAGGGTCAGATCCCCAGGGCTGCATTCAACACAGGGCTGCATTCAGCAGGGCACAACATTATGGAACGTTCAGATATAAATATGTTATGTTTGTCTGTAGAATAAGGAATCATTTCAGCTCCATTCATGGCATTTCTATCGGCAACATTCCACAATGTTTGCGCCATGAAGGTTCTCCTGATGCATTCATAGCAGAGGGGGCTCTGCATTCAAGAGAGGGCTCTGCGCGCACATAGGCTGGAATTCAATCATTGCAGATAATACGATTTCCACACTGCACTTTCAGCAAGTGTGTACAGCAGACACAAAGAAGTCCATTGTGGAAAACCCACCTTCTTCAATGATTGAACTTTGGCTTCAGTTAAAATATTTTATATTGTTTTGCCATTATGGCTAGCAACACTCAAGTCCTATTGTTTTGGGTCTGTGAGGGACATTTCAACAAAGCTACAGTGCCTTCAGAAAGTATTCACACCCCTTGACTTTTTCCACATTTTGTTGTGTTACAGTATTGACTCAGGGGTGTGAATACTTATGGAAATGAGATATTTCCTTATTTCATTTTCAATAAATTAGCAAACATTTCTAAAAACATGTTTTCACTTTGTCATTATGGGGTATTGTTTGTAGATGGGTGAGAAAAAACATATATTTCATCCATTTTGAATTCAGGGGTTATGAATACTGAAGGTACTGTATGTGCTATCGTATCAAGGGTACAAAACATCCATTATCTTGTCTCAAGGTGAGTTGTTTATAGTGTGTGTGTTTTTGTACGAGTAGCCAATCATCCAGGAATGTCTACCTGCACAACACAAGGAAAGCAATATTCAGGCCGTCTACACAGAAGAAGAGGAGGAAAGGCAGAGCTTTCTTCCCACTTACCACACACCTGCTGTGGAATATGAGACAACTGTGTGATGGACAGAGACACTTCCATAACGTCATGTTATTTTTGTTATTCATTTTTTTTGTCATTTAGCAGACGCTCTTATCCAGAGCGACTTACAGGAGCAATTAGGGTTACGTGCCTTGCTCAAGGGCACTGACAGATTTTTCACCTAGTCGGCTAGGGGATTAGAACCAGCGACCTTTCGGTGTTATGTCATGGCCCACGGGGCAGTGAAATTGTCCACTCACCATTTCATGTCAAAGAGTGAATTTCATAGAGGACCTGTTCTGTTGAGGAGATGATGCTCTGAGAGGAGAAGTGGTCAGGAGTGACCCTTATTTTAAACCTTTGCTCCAGGCTCAGGTTTGTAATCCAAGTGGATAAAAAATGCATTGATACTGTACATGTCTACTGTACATGACGCCTGACAAGACCAAAGAAACGTAGAGTATTACGTGTTCTGAAATCAAAGATAAACCCAAGGCCATATCGTCTAGTTCTGAGAAAATCTGATTTGAATGGAACATTTGTTTTGTTGTGAGGTATTAAATAAAGACATATCAAGGGGCGGAAACACGGAGAACTATGGAGTACTGCTTGTCTGATATCGCCACAGATAGAACAATGAGCCAGATATTTCACCGGATGTATAAATGCGAAGCATCTGGTTTGCGTTTCCACTCATTACCAAATATGGTGATGAGAGGAAGCCCAGTGGCTGGCAGTGGGAGAAGATGAATTTTGGCCAACATTCTGCTAATTTTCTCAACGACCAAACATTTGATCTCCATACAGTTTTCTGTTTCCAAAACTACAATCTGTAACAGAGTGGACTGCATTTAGTAGACTTTACCCTTTGCCAGAGTTTCAAAAAATGGTGTTTAGGAGTGCAAGGGCGAATGTAGTTATTATTGCACACGCAAACTTCACAGAGTAGGCGTTCCCTAATGAAAATATGCAAATAAATGCTAGAACATGCCAATAGGATCTCACTAGCTTGTTCTTGGCTCTGCCCACCACCTGCTTGCTTGTTCTGCCCACTATGATTAATTTGCTCCCATTGGAAACTACAGGCTCTTGTCTATCTTGGGTTAGTTATAAAAAATCTTTGATATCACTGTGTTGCTGTCAATGAGAAAATGTATTTGTATTATTTGTGGAACAGAGTAGTTGTTCTTTCAATAATGTGTTCCAGTGAACAACTTTGTCATGTTGTCCTGGTGTGTCGAAGTAGAAAATAGTTTTTGTAAAATTATACTACTTAGACATTTTCATTGTTTGAAAAAAAATCTTAAATAAACATTTCATTGTATTTCAGGTTTCACAGTCCTTACTGCTGCTGATACTTTATTTCTTTACTAGGAACAGTATATTTATCTATTCGTTTTTAGTGTAAAGTTAGTATTGAGTTAGTTCACTCATTGAGTTGGCAGAGGAAGGCAGTGCCCCTGAATATCCAGTGAGTAGGAGACTCTGAGGTGGGTAGAGACACGGCTGTGATGAAGTTGGTAGAGATGCCTGAGGAGGAGAGGAAGCCTGCCCTCTTGGAGGTATGGTACGGGATAATCTGTAGTAGGCACAGCTGCAGCATCATCACATACACTACCAGTCAAACGTTTGGACACACCTACTCATTCAAGGGTTTTTCTTTATTTTTACATTGTAGAATAATAGTGAAGACATCAAAACTATAAAATAACACATATGGAATCATGTAGTTACCAAAAAAAGTGTTAAACAAATCAGAATATATTCTATATTTGAGATTCTTCAAATAGCCACCCTTTGCCTTGATGACAGCTTGGCACAATCTTGTCATGAAAGACAGAGTCCACAGACACGTTCTTCTGTTGAGCACTGTTCTGGAGAAGAGCTGTCAGAAACCCTATAGCAGGGTTCTTCAATTCCAGTCCTGGAGGGCCGAAACACTTCTGTTTTTTATTTCTACCTGGTAGTTAATTGCACTCACCTCCAGGACCGTAATTGAAGAACCCTGCCCTATAGGAAAGATACATGAACTAAATAAGTCAAAACATCTCTTTTAGAATATTATAGAAATTATGTTCATACTTTAAATTGTATTTCAATTTGTAAGGGTGATACAATTTTAAGCCAAAGACAAATGTCCCTTTTCTAAAGCTTGACAATGAACGTTTTTAACTTGAAATTGTACTTGAAGGAGTGTCTCTTTTATGGCTGCTAGTTTAGGTATCTTTATTCTGGCTGTTGCACATTTTTTCTAAATACTTACTTTTATGTTCGCTAACTGGACAGGCAAACGCTGCCAAGTACTAAAGAGTAAACCAATCAAAACTCGTCTGCCAATCACATTCTCCGTACCTAAGGTACATAAACACAGCTGGTGACAGTTTAGTTATAGAAATGTGATACCATCAATGCAATCTGTAAAATAACTCCCAACTTAGAATGCAGCAACCTTAGCAATGTAGCTAGCTAGCTACAACAAGTAGAACTGTTGCTAGCTAGCAGGAGCAGATAGCTTTATCACTACAGGAAGCTTTAGCTATCATTATTCCAAGTAATAATTGAAGACTACAAAAGTCTATTGTATAGCTAATACAGTCATCAAGGCAGGACTCACTAATTTCATTAACGCTAACAAATAAGAAATGCCACATTATCCCTGTCAATAGGCCTAGCTGGAGTAGGAGGCACAGCACCCAGCCTAGTTGGAGGAGGAGGCACAGCACCCAGCCTAGTTGGAGGAGGAGGCACAGCACCCAGCCTAGTTGGAGGAGGAGGCACAGCACCCAGCCTAGTTGGAGGAGGAGGCACAGCACCCAGCCTAGTTGGAGGAGGAGGCACAGCACCCAGCCTAGTTGGAGGAGGAGGCACAGCACCCAGCCTAGTTGGAGGAGGAGGCACAGCACCCAGCCTAGCTGGAGTAGGAGGCACAGCACCCAGCCTAGTTGGAGGAGGAGGCACAGCACCCAGCCTAGTTGGAGTAGGAGGCACAGCACCCAGCCTAGTTGGAGGAGGAGGCACAGCACCCAGCCTAGTTGGAGGAGGAGGCACAGCACCCAGCCTAGTTGGAGTAGGAGGCACAGCACCCAGCCTAGTTGGAGGAGGAGGCACAGCACCCAGCCTAGTTGGAGGAGGAGGCACAGCACCCAGCCTAGTTGGAGGAGGAGGCACAGCACCCAGCCTAGTTGGAGTAGGAGGCACAGCACCCAGCCTAGTTGGAGTAGGAGGCACAGCACCCAGCCTAGTTGGAGGAGGAGGCACAGCACCCAGCCTAGTTGGAGGAGGAGGCACAGCACCCAGCCTAGTTGGAGGAGGAGGCACAGCACCCAGCCTAGTTGGAGTAGGAGGCACAGCACCCAGCCTAGTTGGAGGAGGAGGCACAGCACCCAGCCTAGTTGGAGTAGGAGGCACAGCACCCAGCCTAGTTGGAGGAGGAGGCACAGCACCCAGCCTAGTTGGAGGAGGAGGCACAGCACCCAGCCTAGTGTGGGTAGGAGGCACAGCACCCAGCCTAGGTTGGAGTAGGAGGCACAGCACCCAGCTAGTTGGAGTAGGAGGCACAAGCACCCAGCCTAGTGGGTGGAGGAGGAGGCACAGCACCCAGCCTAGTTGGAGTAGGAGGCACAGCACCCAGCCTAGTTGGAGTAGGAGGCACAGCACCCAGCCTAGTTGTTGTCATTATTTAAACGGTGAGGATGGTCATTTTCCAGCTCATTAACTACAATCCTTTGATTAATTATTGTCCCTCACCTTTGTCTCCCATGAGCTATTCAGCTCTCCTCTCATGTGTCCTGCTCCCAAAGATCAAATTAGTGCTATTCACCAAGCATGGGCTCAGCTGATTCACTCACATGTGAGGAGGACTATCCTACTGCAGTTGAACTAGCCCTGACATCACTATTAGACATTGTGACCCCATATGCCTGTTGTCTTTCCTTTGTGGGTTTAGTCTTATATGGTCTACACAGTCTAGTGCATTTTAGAGTTGAAGAACACCAACTACAGATACACATGCTTGTTAGAGCATCTCAAAGACTAAATTCAATATAGAATCAGTTTGACAAGGTGAAAACAGATTCTGTGACATGCAGTGATGAGAATTATATTGTCCCCTTCAGGAGCCCAGGCTTTTGCCGTAAATGGTAGAGTTCTTGTCTCTGGACCACACATACATCTCTCTCTTTACATCGGTTGGCTACATTAGTGACCAGGGTGGGATCCTTTCGATATACCTATGGGGCCTGGGCACACAAATGCTCCTAGGGCCCAATTTAGACTTCAACATCAGACAGGTTCCACAAGACTAGTGGTGCCTGGAGAAGTTGGTATACTCTATTTTTGCCCAAAATTTCTCAAACAGCCCGCCCGGCGAAGGAAAGGTGCCATGTGTGAGAAATTCTGTTTTCCTATTTTTTTTTCTCCAGGTTTTCACTCTCAAAATCCACACTTTTCATCCACATCAATGCTTAAACCACATCAGCAGACCATTTATGAGGTCTGGGAACAATTGAGAAAAATAATAATTGGAGGGTGTAGTTGCCCTTTAATTCAGATGTGTTTCTGTACTGTATGTATGCTTCCTGTTCTTGAGGCTGTGCTGCGGGTCAGTCTTAGGTAGACTGTTCAGAGAGTATATTCCTCCACTTATCATAGGTATCCTGAATACATAGAGGGTATATACAGGGAATATTAGGGGTTATTAATCATAAGTACTTTGATAACTGATATTTAATTCCATTTACCATGAATGTACAATACTGTATTCAAATGAAAAATGAAGATGCCCAGTAATATTAAATTACAATCATTATAAAGGTTTTTGATTAGTTTCAACAATACAGGCTTAAATATGTAAAATGTTAATATTTTTTCCATAAGGTTGATCTTGATGTTGTCTGCCCAGGCTCTGAAGAAACACTCTATTCCAGGTCCAGGGTCCACAAACCCAGAACCTTGCACGACTCATATGAGCAGTACTACGGAGGCAACAACAAAATACATTACTTCTCATCCAAGTTTAATCAATTACAGTTTA